GTTAGTTAAGGAGAGAAAAAAATAATTTTAATACCAAAATTTCATTATTTATGGAAACCTGAATAAATATCTGGTTGGGCATGTGGAAATGAGCTGATGGTGCAGATTGTTCTCCTGGGACGGATCGCACTATCGAGACGGAATGGGTATAGACAGGAATAAAAGGACCGTTCTGATTAATCTGGGAAAACCAAAGCAAAAATAAAACCCTTTATAGAATAGAGACGCCATCACACTGGATCACAGCCTCTCCATCATGGATCCTAATGGTCCACTGATCTAGACTGCCTGAATATGTTCCGCCGGAATCAGGTTCTGCTCTCAGGGTACCTGGGTAGAGTGCTGCAGGATGGCCAGCAGGCGCTCCTGGATGCGGCGGATCAGTTCCAGGCCCGTGTTGAGATGTTCTGGTTTCAGCAGCCGCACGCAGGAGGCCAGGTCAGTGCACTGCAGCAGAGTCTCCTCTAAACACAGGGACCAGCACACACAGTCAGACCGGTCCGGACCGGGGCGGCTCTGGTTTTAGAGGGGCAGAGTCTCACCCAGCAGGATCTGCAGGGCGTTGGTGTGAAGGTCCAGAGCCTCCGTCTGCTGCTCCATCACGTCCATCTTCTCCGTTTCCTGGTTATAGTAGCTGTAGACACAGGAGTAGGCCAGCACCTGCAGTCAATGAGCAGGGCACAGTTAGCGCGCCGCTCAGAGCGGGAGCAGGGCACAGTTAGCGCGCCGCTCAGAGCGGGAGCAGGGCACAGTTAGCGCGCCGCTCAGAGCGGGAGCAGGGCACAGTTAGCTCGCCGCTCAGAGCGGGAGCAGAACGAGCGTTGGAGCTCCTTGTTCTGATCGACCATCCTACCTTCCTCGCCTGAGCCAGGACTTTGCAGGCGTCGATGACGAAGGTGAGCGACTTCATCTGCAGAGCTTCGTTGATGGACGACACTTTGTTCTCCAGGCCGACGGCAAAATCCTGCAGCAGAGAACAGGACTGAACTGGCTGGAACCAGCAGGAGTCAGAATAAAGACGGTGGCGGTCCGTACCTTGGCCTGGTGGTGGAAGGTGCACCTATCGTTGTAGTCCTGGAACTTCTTCTCCTGCCGAGCAGCTTTGCTCACCTGCAGGGAGAACAGAGGGACGGCTGTTTGCTGCTCTCTGATTGGACGCTGATCAGGTGGCGCTGTGTGAACCAACCATGGCGGAGCAGTTGTAGTAATCTTTGTGAGTGGGCTTCCATGGTTTCAGGCAGCGCCAGCAGAAGCCGTGGTTACATTTGGCACAGGTCATACTGGAGGCAGAGGAGAAGAACCAACCTTCATCATCATCGTCGTCGTCATCATCACCACCACCACCACCCTCCCCCACCCTCCACCTACTGCAGGCAGCCCTCGTTCTTCTCGATCTGGGCCTGGCAGCTGGGGCAGCGCTTGGAGATGAGCTTGGCCAGGTGTTTGCTCTGGGCCTCCACGCTCATACCTTCGTAGAAGCCGCCGTCGTCCATCCACTGAGACATGTGGCTGCAGCTGGCCGGGTAGTGAGCCTGGCGACACAGAACATCTGCTGACCTGCAGCACCAGCACAGAACCTGGCAGGACCCTAAAGGTCCACACCAGGACCCGGTCTAACGGGTCTGACCTCAGAACTGAGGAGGACTAAGCAGGTTCCAGATCAGCAGAGTTTCTGAATGCTCTGCTGCCGACCGGAACCCTGGGACAGGATGGTGACCTCTGACCTCTGGGAAGTTGCAGCTGAAGCAGGAGGACCAGCAGCACTTGGAGCAGGTCCCCATGCTGCCCATGTTCTCCTTGCAGAGGATCTGGTCGCAGCCCAGAGGGTTGGTGCACCAGGTCAGGTTGGAGCAGCTCTCCACGTAGCCTCTGAGCAAGGCACTCTCATACTGGGGGGCAGGAGAGCAGAGGGTTAGACGCCTGGATGGCGGCGCAGGGAGCCGTGCTTGGTGGCTGGCGTTACCTTGGCGACGGTGTCCTTGTCGGTCAGGATGCTGAGGAAGAAGTGGGAGGTGGGCTGAGCCTGGCAGTCTGTGATTGGACAGTTGCAGCTCATCACCAGGTTCTGCTCGATCCGGGCCGTCAGGTACTCCTGCCAACACGACTGCACAACAAACACACCCGTCAGTCACCCCGTCGCACAACCCCACAGCCGCGGTTCTGAGCGCTTCTGACCCGGCAGCAGTAGTGCATGCAGCTGAGAGTCAGGACGGGCTCCGCGCCGCCGCTTCCGGAGCCCAGACACACGGGGCAGGTGGAGGCGGGGCCGGGCGGAGGCTGGGGGTTCCTGCAGGTCAGCCCGGCAGCCAGGATGACGGCGTCTGGGTCGTCGGTGTAGCGCTGAACCAGCAGGTCTACGTTCCACTTACAGTGGATCAGGAGGTGCTCGGCCCGGTCCAAGTCCAGACTGAGGGTGGCCGCGACCTGGGGGGGGGACAGAACGTCCATTAAAGGTCCACATCAGAGAATAACGGTTCAACAAAACAGAGGTGAGGTCCAGACCCGGCCTGTCCCCAGACCCGGCCTGTCCCCAGACCCGGCCTGTCCCC